GCCCCCATCAGATTTCTCGTTGTCTGGGGCTTCATTAGCCGAAACGTCTGAGCCTCTCGGCTTTTTGGCGTTTCGGTCCCGGTGCTTTTCCTCCCCATCGCCACGGTCGCCTCGGCGAGACGTGGATGGCTTGAGGTGATTGCATCGGCGGGCTTCTTTTTGACTGCCCTTTATTTTCTCGGAGCGTCCCTCGTCTGAAACGTATATCATGATTTGATGATACGTGGAGACGACTCCTTGAATGCCGTGAATGAGGGGTCTCCCCATGATCACGTTGTATGCAGATGGAGCATCTACGACCAAAAATTCGGCCATGATATTCCTAGCTGCTCGGCCTTCGCCGATGGTGACAGGAAGTGTAATCTTCCCGTCAGGATACGATGAAGAGCCGTTGAATCCAGACACCGGGTAGGGTGCGGGGTCCAGGTGCTCGGCTCCCATCCTCAGCTGGTCGAACGCTCCTCGGAAGAGGATGTTCGCCCCGCTACCGCCGTCGACGAGGGTCCGCCAGACGTTGCGGTTGGCGATGCCCAGAATGATTACTAGTGGGTCATCGTGGGGGTATACCACCCCCTCACAGTCTTCGGCTGTGAACAGGATGTTCGGCGCCGGTGACTGGGACTGCCGAAGCTCAGCCTGATGAATCTGATGGGTTAGACCCCTCAGTTGGCGTTTGGCTGTGCCTCGCGAGATTCCCCCGGAAATAACCAGGATGTCGAGGGACTCCTTGCCCTGAGGTCCCTTATCCTTCTTCCGAGCGAAGTTGAGGTCTTGCCGAGAATCTTTTTCAGCTTTTTTCTCCTCGCGCCTGTCCGCGAGGTATTGGCTCAGGTACCCCTTGCGGACCAGATCCTCAATCTGGTCCTTCAGCTGGACGCAGTCCTCGGTGCGATGTCCGGGTGAGTCATGGAACTCGCACCACTGGTCCTTTCCCCTCGTCTGATGCCAGGGAGGCAACGGACGAGGTTTTTTGAATCTCCCCTCGTCCTTCGTCGTGCTGAAAATCTTAGCACGGGGAAGGGAGAGTGGAGTGTATGAATCGTACCTTCCCGTGTAGGGAAAGTGTCTTTCCTTCTTCGGCTCGGCAGCAGAGGACGGTTCTGAGGCCTTAGCCTTCCCTTTCCTCTGCGCCGAGACTTCGGGCTGCTGCCCTTTCGGCTTGTCAATTCTCGGACGAGACTGAGACCTGGATCTGTTCCACTCCTCGGCTCGGATGAACCTATCCGATGCTTCCAAGGCTTCCTCCAGGGTCTGCGGGGGATGCATGACCATGAAGTCCAGGAACTTTCCAGCTTGGAGGCCGTTCCGTAGCGCGAACACGGCCAGGCCTTGATCCAGGCTTGTGATTCCGGATGACTCGTTGCTGAAGCGAGTCAGATAGTCGCGGAGGCTCTCGTCCTCCGCCTGCTGCAGACTCATTAGCTCTGCAGTGGTCTTCTCTCGGCGGTTGGCCGTAGAGAATTTGCTCTTGAACTTGTTGGAGAGGTCGTTCCAACCGGTTATGGAGCCTTCCTCGAGCCCTTTGGTGATCCAGGATTGGGCAACACCTTTGAGGGTCGTAGGAAAGTACTTACACCAGGTAGCCTCAGACCTCGGGTTCAGATACATGTGCCCCTCGTAAGAGGCAATGTGATCCTTAGGATCTGAGGTACCATCGTAAGTAATATGTGCCGGGATTTTGACCGTTGGCACATGCTCTTCCAGAATCCACTTCTGGAAGGGCGAGTTCGATGGAACCATGACCGCCTTCCCCTTGTACCCGGCCTTAGGGACCTCGCTCCCTCCTCTCTCAGAGGTGGAAGTGGTTTTCGTCCCCGGCTGAGACAAGGTTGGGTGGGGTCCGGTATCCTCTGGGAAGGTGAGGCGGCTATGCACACTCACCTCCCTCGAACCCAAGCGTTCGTGAACGCTTCGGCGGGCGAATTCCGGGTCCTTGGAGGGCCCCATGGAATTCTGAGCTTCGGAGTGGTCAGAGGGTTGAGGGTTCCTCCTCCTCTCCTTACTGGAGTTTCGGGTGTCCCCTCGCCACCTCTGGCCGAGCTGTCTATGTGGTGGAACTTGTCCACCATCATCCTGACCGATCCTCCTTTTCAGGTTTCTCGGCTGGTGATCATCAGGCATCTGGATTGGAGCCCCTTGAGCTTTAAGGAACTCCATGCAGATGGCCACTGCTCTGGCCACTTCCTCGGTGGAGGGTCCGGAGGGAGGAGTCTCCTGCGGATGTGACCTGGATTGCACGCTATGGCGCGGCGGGGAGTTCCTCGCACCTGAGCCACTCGGTCTCGGGGATGGCCCCGGCTGCCGAGTGTGGTGCGAGGTGTTCTCCTCCTGGAGGCTAGGACCTCTTGAGGCTTCCCTTTCCGGAGAAATGGGGGCCTCCGATTCGGAAGAGGCTTGCTCCGGGGAGGGATAAACCGGCTGGCGTTCCCTCACCGTAATCCGGCCTCCTCCCTTCTTAGCCTTCTTGGAACTCTTTCCACTCTTAGTCATGGCGACTGCCGGAGTGTTTGATGACTGACGCGAAATTTAGTAGCGTTCCCCACAGACGGCGCCAAATTGTTTCGGATGAAAACAATCGAATCTCGGAAGATCCTTTTATCTTGAGGGAACTTGGTCTCGGTCCGAACGACGCCGGAGCCGAGGGTTTCCTGCACAACAAATACACGTAAACTAGCCTCGGGGGGGACGCCGAGGAAGGCCCCTCCGATGCTTAAGTCAGTATATTAGAGAGAGAAAGCTGTGCAAGAGTTTAGTTGCTTGAGGCTTATTGTCTTTGTCTTTCCACTTACCCTCCTTGCCAAGAATTGACCAAATTGTTGGCTTTTATACCTTGGCTAATGAAGGAGGCGGATTGGGCCCGGAAATCAGTTGGGCTGGGCCAAGCTGATTGGGCCGTTGACTGACCTTGACATGGCTTTGAGGATGTTGATTTTTGACTTTAGCATGTTTGGAGAGTTGAACCTTTGCCTTGGGCTTTTAATTGGATCATTCAGTGACCAGGCCCAATTGGACTAAATTGGACCCAAACAGTAATGATAGCACAATCCCCACTGAAATCTTTGAAGTATTTAAAATATATTAATTTCATTAATAATCAAAAATTAGCACAAGGTCAATATAATAAAGTATAAACAGGAAGTATTTAAATTATACTCCATAGTAGTATAGTGAGAACCAACTTTAATTTGATTTATATTATACGAGTACAGTATTTCAGCCGTTATGAAGAAGGTTCTCATCACCTTTTGACCTCCCCCCCAAAGTGGCTTTATTATGGGAGTACAGTTTGAAAGAGATGTTGCTAAATTAATATTGGTACTACTATTCCAGTCTTCCCTAAACATGGCTCTAGTTATAGTACGGATAAGATATGGCCGCACATGCGACATGCCTGCTCGACAAGCCATGTTACGATAAATCTTCATTGAGTTTTTCGTTGGATAATCATGACACGTCTAGACATGAACACTTAAACACATATGCTGGACATGATGGGCATGTGCACAGATGTACCTTCATTAGTTAACCTTTACTACGTTGTGGCTCAACACAAGGCACAACCATTGCTTCATATTATATAAGCCGGTTATAATTCTAAAAACTTTATACACACATTTAAATTAATCTACACATGTAGAACATTTGCTTTTTATGAAAAACAAATGTATTCCGTACATGATAACCCATATATATCAATTAGCAATATAGCATAGTAGCATGGTGGGTCAGAAGTGAATTTCACGAACCAACATTGCCTGCCACTACGCCATCCTTACAGCAAGCAATATTGGGATCTTCTTCTTAATCTGTCTCTTTGATGGCCCCATTTTCATCCTAATTAAGAAATCTTTGTGTATCTAATTGAACACTTTAATAGTCATAAAACTTTGTGAAATCTAGCTTGTATTGCTAAGGTGGGACAATACAGAAATTGTTTTTATTTTTATTTCCATAACAAATTAGTATTATCTGCAAGATTGCAAGTGCAATTAATTATAATTAATTGCATCTATGAATTAACCTCTCACACATCTTTTATTTAACCCTAACAATTTTGATTTGTAACATATAAATTCAATTAACAACTAAATCCTAGCACATTCTAATTCAATATTTGACTAACGTTGTCACTTTAAAAGATAATATCAATTTGGATACTCTTGTAATCTTGTTGATCAATGAACAAAGAGAGTAGAATGGAACTAATATCATCATTATTCCAATACTTGAATCAATACTTTCATGAATTGAAGATAGGAATTTTATCAAGAGAGAGTTATGAGGTAATATTTGATCAATTTGAAGTCATTGTCAATTACATTAGGTGATATTTTTTTCATCATTTTGATAATTACAATTTGTTGTTCTAATAAGTTACAATTACGTTGTTGTTGGTAAAGCTTTTGTCTTCTGGAGTACCAACTACGTAGCACATTGGAGAATTTAGAATTGCAGTGCAACTGGCCCATGTAGAAGAAAAAAGGCCCATATTCTGTTTTTTCATTAGACCAAGGCCCACATTGATTATGATCCAATGCAAAGCCCAATTGGACTGGATTTATCAGCTAAAATCAAAGAGACCTTTGCTGAAGATAACTCAAGCGGCTTGTAGCAGACCTGAATCTCTAACTTTCAAGAGCTTCACTCAACTCAAGTTTTAAGCAATATTAAAGTTTCTATACAGTTACGAGATGTATGTGTAATTATAATGGAGTAGCAAGTTTTATTTATGTGAGTTAGTTAATGTGACTTTAAGATCGTTTCCTACATGAGTTTGCTGTTATTGTAGTCCCATTTGCTATAAACAAACAAATAACTACTTATTTATCAAACACTTTATTACAACAGCTAATACAATTAATTTTAGCTTTTACTAATTTAAACAATTTCATACAAATTTATTGCCTATTAGTTTATGATTAGTTATAAATTACTCAGTACTTAATAATTCTTGCATTTGGGATAGATGTCTACTGATACAACTTTTTCTCCCCTAACAATTTTTTATTTTTATTTTTTAATTTTTATTTTTTTTATGTCACCTAAAAACTAAAGTAACATCTATTTGGTGCAGCAAGTCACACCATGCGGCAGGAGTTACCCAAGTTTTTTTTTTTTCTAGAGATTACTTGAGTTTTTCAGTCAGGGGTTACTTAAATTTTTCAGTCAGGGGTTACTTGAGGGATTCGGACAGGGGTTACTCGAGGGGTTCACTTAACTAAGAGTTAAGGGATTACTCGAGTTTCTCAATCATGCCTTATACAAAAAATTGTGACTCGAGTAATCCATGACCGAGAAATTCAAGTAATCCTTGACCAAGAAACTCAAGTAGCCCCGAAAACTTGAGTTTCTCAAGTAACAAAAGGTGTCATTTTACACCAAGAAACTCAAGTAACCCCAGACTGAGAAACTCAAGTAATCCCAAAAAACTCAAGTAATCCCTAACCGAGAAACTCAAATAATCCCTACCCTACGATACAACGCCCCGCATATATAAATTTGTGAAATTAAAGACCAAAAAGAAGGACCCCATTCACTGGAAGCATTACCAATACGGCAATCAAGGAAGAATCAATGACCAATTAAAAAACTCTGATTCAACTCCAAGTCAACAAACAGAAATCAACTCTAAAACTGGAGAAACTTAACAAAGTGAACTAATACCCAAAAGCCAGAAAAATGAGAGCAGAGACAATAACACTAGTGCTAGTAAACTTAGCAGGAATAATGGAGAAAGCAGACGAATCATTACTACCAGGTGTTTACAAAGAAGTTGGAGCAGCACTTCATACAGACCCAACTGGGTTGGGCTCACTAACACTATTCAGATCCATTGTTCAAACCTCATGTTATCCACTTGCTGGTTATCTTGCTATTCGCCATAATCGAGCCCATGTTATTGCTCTCGGCGCTTTTCTTTGGTCTGCTGCTACTTTTCTCGTCGCTTTCTCCTCAACTTTTTTCCAGGTCTCTGTTTTTTTTTTCATTGACTTTTCTGCTTTTGATTGATCTACCTTACGTTGACTTTTTTAAACCAACATTTCATGTTTAGAGCCTAATTCACGAATTTTGTTCTAATCAGAGACCAATTTATTTACTACCAAGTATATAAGTAAAGTAATGCATAATGTTAGTAGTTTGTTTGATTCAGGGATTCTTAGGACATAAGGTATCTTCTAAAAAGGTGTTGGATTGGATTTGGATGGTTACATTTTATAATAAGTGATTTAAATAGTGATGAAAAATATTTCTATAGGAATTGTTTTGATGAAAAATTTAATTGTATCAATTGGGGACATTGTACTAGTAGTAAAGTTCTGAAAATTTAATGACCTGAAGTTTTGTTATTTATGGACAGCTCCCATCCATAACTCAATTGCTGGATCACTATTATGAATCTTCAATTCTGAGTTCTGATTGTATAATCAGGTGGCAGTGTCAAGGGCATTGAATGGTATTGGACTTGCTATTGTTATACCTTCAGTACAGTCCCTGGTTGCAGACTCCACTGATGACAGTAATCGTGGCACGGCGTTTGGATGGTTACATCTCACAAGTGGCCTTGGCTCAATCCTTGGAAACATCTGCTCAGTCTTGATAGCCTCAACGACCTTCATGGGAATCCCTGGCTGGAGGGTTGCTTTTCATTTAGTCGGAATAGTTAGTGTAATAGTTGGCATTCTAGTACGGCTGTTTGCCAGTGATCCCCGCTTTGTAGATGAGAGTGAGAAGGCAAAAGAGGGGAATCCGCGAGTGTCTTTTTGGGAAGAAATGAAGGAGGTGTTAGAAGTAGCAAAATCAGTAGTGCGAATACCATCCTTTCAAATATTTGTTTCTCAGGGTGTTGCTGGTTCATTTCCATGGTCAGCATTGTCATTTGTACCAATGTGGTTGGAGCTTATTGGGTTTTCCCATAAGACTACCGCGCTCCTTATGACTATATTTGCTATTGCCGGTGCTATAGGGGGGTTTTTTGGAGGTAGAATGGGGGATATCCTTTCAAGACGTTTGCCCAACTCTGGACGAATCATTCTGTCTCAGATAAGCTCTGGTTCTGCCATTCCATTGGCAGCAATATTGTTGTTAGGATTGCCGGATGAACCTTCCACTGCCTTTTGGCACGGTTTAGTTTTCTGTATTATGGGACTTATCATAACTTGGAATGCAGCAGCCACAAACAAGTATGTCCTGTTCCTCACTTAGGCCCTTTTTTTTTTTTCTTTTAATTGCAAAACCATTATCTGAACTTACCTTTTGGCTTGTACATTCACTGATGGTTATGGTTTATCAGCCCAATCTTTGCAGAAATAGTACCTGAGAAACATCGAACAAGCATATATGCATTGGATCGCTCTTTTGAGACTACACTAGCCTCATTTGCTCCTCCGGTAGTTGGTATCCTAGCTCAACATGTTTATGGATATAAGCCAGCTGAAGTAGGGTCATCAGATGCTGCAGTTATTGAAACTGACAGAGAAAATGGTGCATCACTTGCTAAGGCACTTTACACCGCGATTGGAATCCCATTTACAATTTGCTGCTTTATTTACTCCTTCCTTTACTGCACATACCCCAGAGATAGAGAGCGAGCGAAGATGCAAGCTTTGATAGAATCAGAGATGCAGTTAATGGAAGATGGCGTTTCTCCTACTCTATCAGAAGACTCCCCACTTCAATTTTCAGAATCAGATTATCAAAGTTTTAATGGTAGAAAATCAAAAAGTACTGGATATGGGGGTGATGATGGTCTTGAATTTGAATGAAAATGATCAAAAGACCCTGCTTCCACCCCAAGTACCTCTGTCAGATTCTAGAAAACCAATGTGATTGTAAGGTCATCTTTTTTTTTATAAAATAACTTTTTCAAATTTACTACTCAAAAATGTATATACATGTCTTACTTTGAGTTTGAGAATATTCATTACTCATATTACATGCTTCTCTACTTGACTACTATCATTTTTGTAATACCAGAAACATTGTGTCTTAAAATTAAAGCCATCAGTTCTGTCATTCCATTAGCAGCAATATTATATAGCTAGGATGTAATTCAAACTCCGATAAATTCCGTGATAATCTAAGGATGATCTACTGTATCCTTTGTTACTAGCATATTTTTATTATCTAAAGGCAGCGGTTAATGCTTAATTAAGACGTGATTTATACAATGGGACTTATCTACTTGTGATATCTTTTGGTTTTCTTTTTATTTTTTTGTCGTTTATGTGTAGCAAAGCCTTGAAAGATGAAACTTGTCTGCCAAATTCATGTAAGATCTGCAACTTTTAACTTGTTAGATAGTATAATTGAGCAAATATATAAGAAAGCTTAATCTACTCTTAAGAAATAATTAACATTAACCTCTTAGACAAGCTATGTGGAATATTTTCACATGCTTATATGATCTTCCAGTTAAATACTGGAGTATAGTCCACGCATGAAACAAGCAAAGAGTTTATTTTTTCAATATTAACATATTATATGTGCAACTGGTTCCTTAAATTAGTGCTTAAACTTGGTCTTTTTACTAGACAACTTAGAGTAAATGGCTTCATCTGAATGATATTTCAATTCTTGGTTTATTAAATGTCAAAAGGCGCGAATTTTCTGTCTGTTGACCTGTTGCTTCAGCTCTGGAAGAAACTATTTTAGGCTCTCATCAGAGTTTAAAACTTAGAAGACAGTGAAAAGCCTGGAACGCAAAGTTATTATAGTGTTTTTTCATGTAAAAATAATGGTATTAATCCCAAAAATGGGCCAAATCACTACCTTAAAGTCCTAAAGATTCCTAAATTACCCCGCGATTGGCAAACCTCGTGTAAGTACAACTTGTTGCTAACACTAAACAAGAAATTATATTAATCCCATAAGTCATAAGAGAGGCAAAAGAAAAAGTGTTACAAAAATGAGTCCTGAGGCAGTAACACTGCTGCTGGCAAATATAGCAGGTATACTAGAGAGAGCAGATGAGTCATTACTCCCAGGTGTATACAAAGAAGTCGGAGCTGCCCTGAATATTGATCCTACCGGTCTTGGCTCCCTCACACTCTTCAGATGCATAGTTCAGTCTTCTTGTTATCCTCTTGCTGCTTACCTTGCTACACGCCATGATCGAACCTTTGTCATTGCTCTCGGTGCATATCTTTGGGCTGCTGCCACCTTTCTTGTCGCCTTCTCCTCCACCTTCTTCCAGGTCTACCTCCTTTTCTTCCTTCTTGGTGTCAATTTTCAAGTTTTGTGGTTATGTTGCTTGCGTTGACTTTTTCTTTTGCAATTATCTCTGAAATCTGACTGATGCTGTTGGTTAGTAGTAGAAATAATTTGCTAAAATTGAATTGAAATGAAATAGGGAGCACAAATTTTGTTACTGTTTTTATAGTATCATTAATTCAATGTCAAATGTGATCTATCCATTAGCCTTCAAATGATCAATAGAAAAATCTTTAATAAGCTGCACTTTTGCCATTCATAATCATAATTAGCCCCACATAACTGATATAGCAGCCTACAGAAAGTATTAATTAAGATTTGCTAATTACATAGGTGGCGGTATCAAGAGCACTAAATGGTATAGGACTAGCCATTGTAATACCTGCAATTCAGTCACTTGTTGCAGACTCTACAGAAGAGAGCAGCCGTGGTATGGCATTTGGATGGTTGCAGCTAACAGGAAACATGGGAGCCATCCTAGGAAGTGTTTTCTCTGTCATAATAGCCTCTACATCTTACATGGGAATTCCGGGGTGGAGGTTAGCCTTCCATTTAGTCGGGATCATAAGCGTTGCAGTTGGCATATTAGTCCAAGTTTTTGCCACTGATCCGCGCTTTGCAAATAAAACTAGAAGTGACAGTACTTCAGACATGTCCTTCTCCTCAGAACTTAAGAAGGTACTGTTGGAAGCAAAATCTGTTATCCGAATTCCATCTTTTCAGATAATTGTAGCTCAGGGTGTTGCTGGAACGTTTCCTTGGTCAGGGCTATTCTCATTCGCTCCCATGTGGTTAGAACTCATTGGCTTCTCCCATGAAACAACCGCGTTCCTCATAACAATGTATGTGATTGGTAATTCTCTTGGAGGTTTATTTGGTGGCAAAATGGGAGATATCTTATCTAACAGACTGCCAAACTCTGGGAGAATTATTCTGTCTCAGATAAGTTCAGGGTCTGCAATTCCTTTGGCAGCAATTTTGTTCTTAGGACTACCAGATGATCCTGCAAGCTCTTTTAAGCATAGTTTGGTATTGTTCATCATGGGACTCACCACTTCATGGAACGCGCCAGCCACAAACAAGTATGTTTTTGTTACGAATTTCATATTTTGAGTAATTAATATAAAATTTGAACATAAAAAAACTGAATGTTTATTGCCTATTGTCAGTCCAATTTTTGCAGAAATAGTACCTGAGAAACATCGAACGAGCATTTATGCATTGGATTGTTCCTTTGAGTCGGTACTCAACTCGTTTGCTCCACCTCTAGTTGGTGTACTAGCTCAGCATGTATACGGCTACAAGCCTGTCCCAGAAGGATCATCAGAGTCTGCAGTGAAAGAAACTGACAGGGAGAATGCTACCGCGCTTGCAAAAGCTCTGAACATCAATTTCACAATCACAATGACTGTTTGCTGTGCTATCTATTCCTTCCTTTACTGCACTTATCCTAGAGACAGAGAACGAGCAAGGATGCAGAGTTTAATAGAATCCGAAACACAACTAATAGATGGCAGTCATTCTAACAAGCTTCAATTTTCAAAACTAGAAAAGCAAGATTATGATGATGATTCAAAGGATGAAAAGACCCTTCTAGCAACACAGGTACATGTATGAAAATCAATATATCAGGCAATGTAAAGTGCAAATACTGTCACTGTTTATTAAGCTAAGTAAGCTAACTCATTAGAGTTCTAATTCTAGGCATCTGATTGTTTTTTTATCACAGGTTTCAGGCCAAGTGTAAATATCTATTACTAAGCTATTCCGTTACACATAAGGGTACAATCACGACTTATTTGATAAGCGGTAATAAATAAGCCCTTGCAACATAACTATCGTAATTAATCGAGTAAATTAAATAAGCCTGGCTTCGTCATATAATAGATGCCGTGTGTAAAGACAATCATATATGAAGAAAAAGAAATGTGAAAACGGTCTTCAACCTTTCTTTCTTTATTGATCATGTGGTAGCTAAGCATATCTTTGAGTAGCTCCCTTCACTTGCTGTCATCATATCACATACTCACATGTGTTTTCATTTAATGTACTACTGATTCTTTCTGTTATTATAACATGCATCTACTTGTAATGGGAAACACTACTGAATTATTTATTTTAATTAATTTAACAAACAAATCTAGGTTAGCTTAATTATATACAGTAGATGATTTGGAGTATGAGTAAAGTTTGGATTAAGAGAATAAAAAAAGAAGGTTAAGTGATTAGTGTTAATAACAAAGATTATGGAATTGATTAACTGAAGATCAATAGAGCAGAAGATACTAAGAAAGATCTGGCTAAGCACTTATTGGGTCTAATAAGTGAATAAAAAGTCAATAGATTGGACTATTATTAGTGTTTGTCCACACTCATCGGTCAACACCGTCATTACTACTTGACTGTCTAATGTCTACCCTTTACTGTCACCACCAGACGCAGCATGCAACCGTGGAGTTTAATAAGTTAAATCAAACTAAGCTCTCACTCCCTTGTAATGAGTATGGAATATTAAGGAGTAAATTGACTTTTGACTAATCTGCATAACTTACTAGTGTTCTTGGTTACTTAGCTTGCATATCTAATCTCATAAAAGTATAAAACTATCATTGTGTAATACGAAGTTATAAAACTAAGAGCTTTGACTTATCAAAATATATTTCTTCTAGTTTACTACACAACTAAAGCATATAGAGTACTTCATAGTTTTTTTTTTCTACAAAAAACAGTACTCCACAGTTGATAAACAAAGTGTAAAAATGAAAAATGATGTATTGTGAAACCCAAAGATATACTCCGTATATGGAGTCAAAAATTTCATTATTTGATAAAAAGAATCAAAATATAAGAAGCTAAGATATTACTCCGTATAAATGACAAATGAAATTAATATAAGTTCAAATAAATTAAATATATACTACCTTCGTTGAATATCAGTTACAATTTTGAAATATTATTTATGAGATATAAAATAATTCTAAGAGTCTGTTCTTATAGACTAAACTCAGTTGAATTGAATTGAGCTGAGTTGAACTGAACTGAGCTAATAAATTGAATATTTTATAAGAGAAGGAAATTAAGAGCTGAACTGAACTGAAAATAAACGTATGAGAACAGACCCTAAGTTGCAACTATGAGTAATATTTAACGGAGGTAATAGATAAAGCGTACTTAGGTTCATCCCAACTTTACAACCCTAAAATTAAGTAATTGAGTGACATAAATCACATAATAATGGACTTTACACAAGCACTTTAGCTAAAGATTAGCCCACACTTCCCATAAAACCGCGTATCTTTAGCTCTTATGCCATGTGTGACCCCATCTCACTTTCTCCTTCTCCTCTGCCACTCTCTCTGCATTAAAATCTTTGCCGTCACTCCCTTCTTTCTCTCTCCTCATTCCCTACTTAGCTTAAATCCACCCATCTTTCTTCACTTATTCCTTCCTCTTCCTCTCTCTCTCTCTCTCTCACTTAAGATCTAGTTCTAAACTATCACTCTTTATTTCCTAGTACACTCCACTACTATTCTTCACCATTTGATCCATAATCATAATTCTATGATTATGGCTCCACTTCCTCATTTCTTCAAAAATGTCTTCTTCTGTTACTTACTATTTATTTCATCTTCATTTCTAGTTTTTGCCACTTCTCAAAATCAACTTCTACCTCGAAGAGCTTTGCTAGTAAAAACACTAATCCAAGATGATGAAGATGAAATTCCCAAAATCAAAATCAAGAAATCTTCCCCTTCTTCTTCTACTAAAAACCAAACTAAACCCATCATCAAATCTCCTCCTTCTTCCTCTAAAAACTTGGTCACTAATAATTCTTCCAAAAAAAACCAAACTAAACCCATTTTAACTACAACACAAAAAACCTCGTCTTCTTCCAAAAATAAAACCTCCTCCAAAAATGTCGGTGCTTCACCTACTCTCACTAAACTCAACCTTAACTCCACCAAATCCAAACCCAAACCAAAACCCAAAACCGCAGATCTGCCCAAACCTAAATCATCATCATCAACCCAAATTACCAAAACACCCTCATCCGATCCTTCCAAAAAAACCCAAAAACAAAAAACAACCCAGAAACCTCCTTCAATGTTAAACAACAACAACGATGAAGAAGACTACGATTTCATGGCAGAATTCCGAGATTTCACAAACAAATTCCATAAAACATTCATCCCAGATTTACACAAATTCTCAACGACTTCCAAAATCTACTTAGCAAAAGCAAACAATGAGATCACAAACAATTACATCAAACCATATGTAGGTAAACAATACCATTCTTCAGCATCAACCGTTATTTCATTCGCTTTTATCATCCTACCATTTTTACTGGTATCTCTACTTTTTAACCGCATTACTGCCTATTTCTCCCTCCAAAAACTCATCATTTTTATCCAAATTTACCTCTCAATTTACTTCTCAATTCTATGCTTCTCTAGTTTAATTACTGGGTTAGAGCCGTTGCGGTTTTTTTACGTTACTTCGCAATCAACCTATGTTTGGTTGCAAGTGTTGCAGACTCTTGGATATGTAATGTATTTGTTGATGTTGATGATGTATTTGATTCTAGTGTTTTCTACTGAATCTGGGTTGGGCCAGAAGTTCTTGGGCTTGGCCCAGACTTTTGTGGGCTTTGCTATTGGATTTCATTATTATATGACGGTGTTTCATCGTGCGGTGTTGCATCAACCCCCTAAGACTAGTTGGAAAGTTCATGGGATCTATGCCACGTGTTTTCTTGTTATTTGTCTGTTTGCACGTGCTGATCGCACGAAGAAAGCTTACCTTGATGAAGAGGGTGTTGAAGAAGGCAAAATTAATTAGAAATTTACTATTACATTCTTTTTTTTTTTTTTTTCTTTTTATTACTCATAATTTATAAAGTCAAATAGTGATTTTTTTAATTCGGTCTTATAAAGTGAGGGAAAAAATTCGCTTTCCTTGCTTTCTTTGTTAGGATTTTAATTTTTAATAATTTACTATTATGGTCTATTGAGTAATATTATAAATTATTATTGTAGCTTCTTAGCTTTAAGATCTTACAATTGTACTTAGATCATACCTTTGCCAACTGTATTGTATAGTATTTTTAATAAATGTTATGCATAAATGATTTTACTTTCTTCAATTCCTTTATTGGCTCTTTCGATTGTTTAAGTTTTTACAAAAATTAATGAACGTGTATAAGAGACCACCGCTATAGTCTACATTTATTATATTTGATCCACCAACTTAATCAATGAATAAAAAGGACGAAGCCTTAAAGAAAGTATATTTAATTTACTAAAAAAAAAAAAAGTATATTTAAGTGTTGTAAGTGTTGTAACTAAAAAAATATAGTCGTGATTCTACGGCTTCATAAATATGAAGTACTCTTTAATCTTTATATTCTTTATACAAGTTCTTTATATTTATGCAAAAAACAATTAATACAAGTAGCTTTTATGGCTTGTTTTCTTCAGCTTAATTTTATTTTAGTTTAGCTTAGCTTAGCTCAGCTCCTATTAGTTCAGTTCAGATAATTTTGTTTCTAATTTCCTTCTCTTATAAACAATTCATTTCAGTTCTATTCACTTCAATTCAGTTCAACTCCAATCAGTTCAGTTCAGTTCAACCCGCTTTAATAAATCATAAAAGCCCTTAAGAACCTATTAAGTAGTTTAAAAGTGCTGCTTAGATCCATCACTTTCATCTTGTCCATTTTGGAATTTGGATACATTTGATTGATTTATTAAGAGCACCTAATTATTTGTTTTATGTGCATTTTTTTCTTTTTTGGAACTTGTCCACATGTGATAAGTTACTTGCAAAATTAATAATTAATTCTAACTGTTTTTTAAAACACTCAAAAATATTATTAGTTCTAAATAATTGTGAACAACACAATTATATCATTTTAGAAGAAAGTTGGATGTAACTTTCGAATTCTTTTACTTCCCATGTTCTATTACTATTGCATCATGAGGGGAATTATAATATAATGAAAATACAACTAATACAAGTATATACTAAAACAAATATAATAAGACTTTATATAACTGTATTTTACAGTATGTACAACTCACACTATGTGATTGAAAAGGATCATAAATTTGTAAATGGTGCAATAATCATAGAACATAGGAAGTATTTTTGATTGAACATAAAGTTGGCTAGACATAAACTTTTCAAAAAAAAAAATCAATTAGATAGATGTGTGTGTGTGTTTTTTTTTTCCTGTCTTTTCAAAAAAAAAAATCAATTAGATCATTTTTGTAGTGTATTATAACAATTTAGTCCAAAATTAACGGCTCAATTCTTCTTGCTTATAAATTTATAATCATGGCTTACATACTTCAAGATTGGTTTGTTTTGAGTACCGCCTCACCGATCCGCGAATGCTGGTCTCTTGATGTAGTGAATCCAGTGGCGTACAGCGGTACAGTATGTGCATATGTAATTATTAAATTATGTACTACGAGTAGTGTAAAAATCCAATATTAATAAGCTTTGGGCCTTTGGTCCCTTTTTCTATTCTTTGGGCTTAGCCCAGTTATGCATACTACCAAAAGAATTTATGTCTTTACACAATCTTTTTTGGACCTTTTTTTTCAAGGTTTAATTATACGGAATAGTGTAGTGAGAAACTAGTTAATATCCAAGCGATGTTTCTGGATCAATATATTCCTTAAAAAAAGAAATAATAATTTTTTTTTAAAAAAAAGATATAATAATAATTGAATTTGAAGGAGTAATTTTTAATATAAATTTGGTATGGATATTGAGAAAATTTTATTTTGAATGCAAAAAGTAGAAAATTGAACAAACCATTCGTATCCACCAAATTTAAGGTAGAACAACTCGAAAAATTTCCTCCCTTCAAAAAAAAAAAAAAAAAAGTTCAAAAAAATTACTTGGATATAGGGAAGGAGAAAGGAAAAAATGAAAAAATAAATAAATAAACTAAAATCCCTAAATTATAGTTGGTGGAAATTTACAAGAAAAAATAAATAATT